AGCACCTAAAGTGCAATCTCAGAAAATGATTATCAGATTTGGGCTATCCATCGAGCTGTATAACTACACTTGATAACTCATTGTTAAGTAACATCAAAGATAACAAAAACAAAAGCTATTCTCAGTAAGACGTAAAATGTTTGTTTTCAAGRGTTTTCTAAAAAGCCTAACCAGCCATGCCTAAATGTAATGTCAAGTGATAACTCAAGTGGACAGCCATATCTTCTGCCTCAAATAAATCACAATAGACTAGTCATAACACGACCAGAAGAATCGGAATCGGGAAAAAAAACCATGCAAAAACCACTCAAGTCATTGCAYGCAGAAAACAAGTAAATTCCTGTGAGATGAAAAACTTTTGAAGCCAAGCGCTGGAGAAGTAATCTCTTAAAATTCTTCCTCGGCTTATCTTGATTTATAGCTTTCAAATATAAATGAGACAATGAATAATATTTAGCGGAAAAGTAAGTAAATCAGGACTTGATTAACTAGGTAGTTTGATTTCTGAGATTAACTCCAGCCAAGGAAGATAAATTTCTAGAATAAAAGGTTCTAAGATCGGGCTTGGTGTGTGRGAATTTATTTTATTCCTATCAGGATGCCGACGGAACTTAGCTGGTGGTCGTGGGTGAAAAAGAAAGGGGGGGTTACACGTGACTAATGAAGCCAGTCCACCTCGCTTTYTTGACAATAAAAGATCGTAAGATGAACTGACCTTGGTGTGTGAGAATCRGTTTTTTTATTCCTATCAGAATACTGAAGGATCTTGGCTGGTGGTCGTGCGTGGAAGAAAGGGGGTTACATGTGACTAATGAAGCCAGTCGAACTTGCGTCCCTGACGTCATGAAACGCACGATTTACCGATGTCGTATATAGAAATGGATCTAGAACGGTAAATAACCCAACAGAAAAGAAAAGGAAAAGAAATAAGGAGAAGAGGAGGAAAACGAGAGAACGAAAGAAAGAAGGAAAAGGAGATGGAGAAGGGGAAAGAGAACAAGAACAAGAAAAAGAGGAAACAGAACGAGAAGCAGAACGAGAACGAGGAATAGAAGGAGAAGATATTTCTGAAGGAAAAGGCAAAAGGGAGGAAAGAGAAGAAGGAGAGGAAGTACGTCTGAACAATAAGCTGACCAAAATTCTCACCGACCCCCGCTGTGYTTTCGAAAAACAACATTATGTGACGAATTAAATTGTAATAAAAAATCAAGAGTGTTTTACCAAACAAAGTCAAAAAAGGAAAGAAAAACAGAATCACTTCATCACTGAGTGGCCACGCTGTTTCCTCCAGCGAACTACGTAATCACCATCAACTCAAGGTCATTGTATAAATCTCACTGTTGCTATAGTAACAACGCTTGAGCCGGGTTATTCYTGCATACAAATAATGAGTTAACATTGTTTTACGACTATACCGAGAGAGGATCGTTAGATGTGAGGACATGATGAGACCTACCGATGGTGAATGGTGAACTTCTAAGACTGAATAACTAAACTCGAAAGGAAAACTTTTGGGGATCCTCTCGACCGTTGAACGTGACTTCAATTGTATCCACATAAACAACGGCGCCGTTAGTTACTAAAAGGAAATCTGGATTGACATTCTGGCTGATATACGAAAGACTTTGCAATTACTGTACTTGGATTCAATTCAAGACCTGTCTACGCGTTTGAATCTTATTATCGTTTTTAGTCAGATATAATTTGTGTACCAATTTTATCAGCGAAAAAGGTGGAAAAGACTCGTGATTTTTGTGTCCAGTCTGAAAATGTCGAACTGTAGTTTAGAAGGGTACAAGAAGGTAGTTTATGATAAATGCGCTAAGGAAAATGTCGGGACTTTGCTGCTATCGTTTCTGGATGAGTCAGAATGGAACTATGGACTGAGGGTAGTTATCTATTTGGTAGCTTTGCTCTGGTGTTTCATGGGGATTGCCATTGTTGCCGATGTCTTCATGTGTGCCATCGAGAGAATCACAAGCAAGACCAAGAAAGTTATGGTTGCCAAGCAAGGCACAAAAGCCGAGTTGGAGGAGGTTGAAGTGCGGGTATGGAATGATACAGTAGCTAATCTGACCCTCATGGCACTAGGGTCCTCGGCTCCTGAGATCCTTCTCTCGATCATYGAAATTATAGGTAATAATTTCGAAGCAGGCGATCTTGGTCCCGGAACGATCGTAGGGTCAGCTGCGTTTAACCTGATGGTTATCACGGGAGTATGCATCATGTCTATCCCAGCCTTYGAAGTCCGCAGAATCAAGTCTATTAAAGTTTTTGCAGTCACTGCTTTCACATCGATTCTGGCATACATATGGCTGTACATCATTCTGTCAGTCAGCAGCAAAGATGTTGTCGATTTGTGGGAAGGCATCCTCACTTTTCTCTTCTTCCCAATACTTGTTATAATCGCTTACATTATGGATAAAGATTATTGCTGCTCCGAGAAGATACGACCGAATTCAGGGATGCTTGAACTTGGTAAGTAGTACAATTAATCTTAAATAGGGGCTCAAATYTTATACAAGTCTTCAATCAATTCGATCAGAAAACAAAATTAAAACTAAAAAGTAAAGTAAGCGGATACAAATTATATTACAATTTTCTCATATTACCGTTGGGACAAACGCATCGAAAAATATAGCATAATTAAGAATTATTCACTTATTTATGCTCTTTCGGTTTCTACGGAACTGATATTTCATTTTTCACGAATAAATCTCGAGTTCACGAATAAATCTCGAGTTCCCGAAATTTCCAAGTTTGATTAGGGACGAGTTTCAATTAGCTCTTAAATGAGAGATATTTCTCATATCTAAATGTGTTCAATTTTGTAACTTGGAAACGAAGATCCCGTTGGCGATATATCAACAACTTTCGAATAGCATTACGAAGAGRACGTGATGAAAATATGACATTTTTATGTGAAGAAAAAAGAAAGGAAGAAAAAAGCCGAAGAAATAGGGTAAAAGTCAGAGCAGAATTCTCAAATTTTGTGTTTCTCTGGAACTTTCTGGAAAAATTCTCTCTTTTTTAATTTATGAAAGTCTTTCATCAAAAATTACCCACATTCAACATACCGTGAACTGAATCGATTTTTTGTTAATATCAACAAAATTAGCTTAAACCTAGAAAGTTTTGTCTTTAAAAAGGATAAAGTTTGTGTTATGTGTCTATGGAATGAAAACGGCCATTTAGTTTCTGAAGATAAGAATATTGTTCTGGAACTTGGAAATTTTTTCCTTTTTTTTTTTTTTGTTGAACAAAACCCTTAGCAACAAAATATTTTTATGCTGATCTTTTTCAGCTAATTTTCTTTAAAGCAAAAGGTATTCAGTATTATTGAGTCAGAATTATTAGCAAGATAAACATCTACATTATTTTAATTTAAAGTGATATATATTTTTAAAGAAAGTAATTCAATTTAGAAATTTTATATTCAAAAAAAATTTTTTTTTAAATTATAAATACATAATAGTTTCCTATATTTATGTAAAATATTAATATACAAAATATTTTTGTTTTGTTTTTGAAAATAGTTTTTCTGAAAAAAGGTCTTTCCATTCTTGGATTTTGTATTTTATTATAATTCAACTTTGTAATTTTTCTAGTCTATTTATATTATTTATTTCCTCACGAAATTGTGCATTTTTCTGTCTAAACAAAATTGTCTTTATTTAGAAATTGAAGACCTTTTATCTATRTTATTTTACTGTCATAAATATTACCTAAAAAAATTAGCACTAGACTAAGGACTAATCATTCATCTGTTTATACAACCTTCTTTAGTTTGTGCAATATTTTTATTGCTACTTGATGTTTAAGCATGCATGGGACAGTCTTAAACACGTTTTGCATTACGAAGACTGATTTAATGTTGAAAGAGTTGTCACATGAAATTATTTATAGCCTTCATAAATATAGGGTAGTGTAGCTGTAATGAAATGGTTGAACTGGCTATGGGTTGCTAGTTTGAATCCTGCCAACACATTTGAAGTTTGTTTGATAAGTTGYGAAAACATGTTTTGTTAKAAGGAGGGCTTTCTCCAGCTTTTTCAGTGTTATTCYRCTAGTAATAATAAACGTCTGAGCTRAAACTTGCATGCATGAAATGTCGAATGRAGCAGTTGTGTAAGTAAAAGTGACAAATTAGAAAACATTATTCRAATTTTWTCCACTTCAAAGAGATTATGAAGATATCTGTCCTTATATTTCTCMAGGCAGTACAAAACCATCTTTAGTTAATTGTTAGTCATATTTTCTTTTCACACACTCAGTCCCATATAAGTGCAATACTAAATACCAAAATAATAGATACTGGAATAACTATCATTAAAATTACCATAAAGGAAGAAAATATTTATGGCAATTTGACAAGACTTTGACTGAATTTATAGTTTAACAATCATCAGTTGTGTTAAATAGCTTTTATCTTAGTTATAAAATTATACAGTATTCAGTATTCAAGTACTCATGACTGCATTAGCTAGATTTGMAATGAAACTGCCATTTTTCTCATTAGTTACTAGGGTAAATATTGTCTGAAAATAACAGGTGAAAAAGAAACTTACTTTCGTTATAAAATGCAAAAACCTTTTATGATTTTTAATTATAGATACACCTGTCGTAGCAATATTCACTCTCTTTTTCAATTTTATTTATTCACTTTCAAATATTAAAAAAAAAATTAATTGGTATATGAAAACCTAGTGTTCAATTTCTTTTAGTATTCAGAAAATCATATTTGCTTATTGTTAGTATGGCAGCTTATTTTACACATTGTTTTGACAAATAAGGTAGTTTTAAAATTATAATTTATGAAACAGTTTCAAAATATAGTGTTTGGAAAGGTTTATCTTAGTTTTTTTAGAAAATCGTACTCGCTTGTGGTATGACAATGAACTTACAACTTTTTTTTCTATTTCATACTTACTGGTTAAGTTTATACTTTTAATCTATGCTCACAGAGGAAGGAGGAAAGAAGTTTACCTTACCTACAGAGGACCCTGATGTTACCACCTTCATTAAGGTAACTTTAATACAATTTTAAATGATAACTTAAATTTKGTTCTTCCTCAATAATCTAATTGGAAACTCTCATTGATGATTCGAATACCTAGTGCTGTTATGTAAAATGGAAATCAATTGATTTGGTAAGCCGAATATTTATTAGAAACTCAAACTCAAAATGGTTACAACGTTTTGACATCATTACATTTCATTATCAAGTGACATCTGACAATGTCAAAACTTTGTAGCCTTTTTACATYGTCTTTCTAATMAATTTTGTATCAAAGTCTAGACTTATCACGTTGAATTTTTTAGAGGAAATAAATTAGTGAAGTACCCTGTAAATGATTAATAAATTAGGCCAATTTGGCCTAAAAAAAACTAGAAAACAAACAAAAAAAGCAATCCACAATGAGGAAACAGATATTAATACGATATCATGATATTTCAGTGACATAGCTATTGGTATTGCCAGAGGCACAGCCAAATGACTACTTCAAGCAAGTTCACTGTATACCAGGGTGGATACTATGTTAGGTACAGYGTAGGCTTATCTAATAACTGTATATTTGGTTTGTTATGTGAAAAAATAGGAAGTCAGCCATATTCCAGACATTACAGAGGATGATGCAGCCAAGCTCGTTGCTGYTCATATCAAGTCAAAACAACCCAAAAATTATGGTTACTACAGAGTTGGCGCAATTAGAGATATTGGTGGGGGACACAAACTRAAGCCAAAAATGGACCCGAAATTGAACATGGTAAGGAATACCTCATGTGAAATAATTAGAGTCTTAAAATTTTAGAAAAGCTGAGCTTACCTTTGAACGCCTTTTGATTTCAGATCTATGAGGAGCTTTCTGATGTTGGATTTTCAACGTCAGGAGCATCTGTTATTCTAGCAGGAAACAAAGGTAACATTAAAATTTTAATCACTTTTCTCCGCAGGGACCAAGGAAGGAGGGGGCTACTTTCTGGTTTCCTCAGTAACATTAATCTATGTACTACAGGGGTTTAAAATAACATTGTCGGCTAATTAAGATGGAGGGCCAAATTAGGTTTAGCTAGGTCACAYCTAGTCGTAACTRGATCAATGTTAYTGGTCAAAATGACTGGCAGGTCAAAAATATGTCTTGGTAAGTTCAAATTCTTGCTGGAGATTGTTTGAAAAGCCCAATGATAAAATGATCAAGAAACCCCGAAGCAAAGTACTCCAGTGTGGTATGCTAAAGAACAATATGTGCCCTATTTAGAACAGATCTAGTATGTACAAAAAAAGAACTCAAGTATGCTAAAACATATCTAAAAAGATACCTACTTCTTTACTTAATGCTAGATGCCATCAAGCCTGCCGTGATAGAGTTTGCAGCATCTAAGTATGCTGTCTTAGAAAGCGACAAGCTGGTCAAAATTGGTGTTAAACGAAGTGGAAATATGAAGTGTACAGCAACAGTCAAGTAAGTCTTATATAGTGTTGTATATTGTTTAGWCAATGGAYTCTAAAAGATACTAATCAACATGTGACCAGTCAATGTGACTAATCAATAGGACTGGCCTTAAGGAGTGGTCAGAAAGTAAAGGGGAGGGTGGGCTATGAAAAGCAATTGGTGGGTCATGAGAAAATAAGCCTCTTAATTGGGGCTGGTTCAGTTTTCCGTCCTTTTTGAGACATTATATAGGGGTGGATCATATTTTATTGGGCTTAAGATAAGGGGTGGGTCACTAATGATTATGCCTTTTGATAATTGAATATTTGTCATTCCACCCCCCCCCCCCTCCCTTCTACTTTCTGACCAGTCCCTAAGCTGGTTTTTACCAAGTGCCAACCTTAGCCAGATATGGACCTCGATCTGAACAGCTATTATCTTTAGTCCTGATGATGGCATCAATGCACATGTATAGCAATGTGTAGTTGCAGGAAATACCCTTGAATAACATTACCCTTAATGTTCCACCATGGGAAGGGGGAGAAGCCGAGTTGCGAGCAAAGAGGGGGACCAATATGCAATTTCCCACCCTCTAAAACCAGCTGTAATCAAAAGTCTTAATTATATACCTTTTTATCTTGCAGTTATGAAACCATTGACGGTACTGCAAATGCAGATTCTGATTATATCCCAAAGAAAGATGTCATGGTGTTCAAACCCGGTGAAACACTCAAACATATTGACATCACAATCATTGATGACAATGAGTGGGAAGAGAATGAAATCTTCTTCGTCAAGCTTTCTCCTTATGACATTAAAGATGCMACCGTCGCTGTTGGAAAGCTGAGCGTTACTGAAGTAACGATTATCAATGACGATGGTAAGTGGTTTTCTCGTAGAACYTCCTTGCATGTCCATCTTGGGCCATTTTCATTCAATGCAAACGTAAGTTTTTTTATCTTATTTACAGAACCCGGCATTTTATCGCTCCAAAARCCCAGTTTTGTCGTCAAAGAAAGCATTGGTAAAGCTAAATTTATGGTAGAGAGAACGCAAGGTACAGACGGAATTGTCAAAGTGACTTGGACAACCCAAGACCAGTCGGCCATTTGTGGTAAAGACTATCACGGAGGGAAGGGCGAGTTGACGTTTGAACATGGCGAGCAGGTCAAATACATTGAGATTGAAATCATTGACGATAAAGCCTTTGAAAAAGATGAAACTTTTACCCTTGAGTTGAGTGATCCAACAGGAGGAGCACAACTTGGAAAAATCAAGCGAACTGTTGTCAACCTGGTCAATGATGATGGTAMGTTTGTATCAATGAATGAAAATATATCGACCAATCATATTGCGCGTTAGAATGCTCAACCAATCACAGCACGCGTAAGAAAATAGTTTTATACGGGAACTCTATTTCGTATTTATGGCGGGAAATATCATTTTGGAGAGACCCTTTTATTTATTATACTGTATTTTATCTTTAACCAGTTAAATTATAAAATACTGGAGGAATATTCATTGCATTGAAGTGGCGTATCAAGGTTTTCATTAGAGTTTTAGTACTAGGGGCTACTCCCACGGCATCCGTTAACAAACAACCCTCCCCTTAAAATGCAAGGAAATTGCCAATAGATTGGGGGGGAGGGGGGGAATTACACACAGCACTTCCTTATCATACCCTGAATCACTAACATTGTCGTCCCTGATTTGACTAGAGTACCGGCGTTTATTTGACCGTGTGGTCTCTCTCACTCACCTAAACCTGGATCGATTGGAACTCGGGTCGTCGTCGTGGGGCATGCAGTTTCGTGATGCTATGTCGGTCAATGGAGGAGACGTGGAGAACGCCACGACAATGGATTACATCATGCACTTTTTTACTTTTGCTTGGAAGGTAAATACATATTCCATCTTTATGATTCACTATCCAGTCATAGTCACATCTTTACGGTGGCCAATAAGAGGCACACAGCTCTTCCCCTCCCTTTCCCCCCTCTCCTCAGGCCCCCTACCCCGAAGGGATGATACTCAGGTTAGAAACGAATTGCTGCATGTTAGACAAAAATTCCTGCATTTGAGACGACTTGCTGCAAATAAGAAAGAAGTTGCTGCAATACTTAGATTGAAAATTTCTCATGATTACCTGCCGGGTACGGATRAAATGCCCGGCAGTTTTAAATGTTATCCTCGAAGAGGCATGGACAGAAACTAGTGGGTGGTTGGGTACTTATTTGTACGTAGAGACTGGGATATGTCGGCCTCTTCTKCAGGCCAGTAAGCTGCTGCAGATGTTGCAGGGGCATACAAAAGAGAGGGGATGGTGATGCGACTCCTTTTTGCGAATTTCAAAGCTTGGAGAGCTCTATTTTGTGGTGGATAGAATTTTTTTCGAAAGACGAATATTTTGAAACATTTCGAACATTTTTTCAGATCATCTTCGCTATCTGTCCACCTTGTTCATGGGCCGGAGGATGGATTGCTTTCAGCGTTGCTCTCATGATGATCGGCCTACTAACGGCGGTTGTCGGGGACCTTGCTACCATATTTGGATGTCTAGTGGGCCTGAAACCTGAAGTGACTGCTTTCACATTCGTCGCTTTGGGTACCAGTCTCCCTGATTTGTTTGCCAGTAAAACGGCCGCCGTGTCAGAAAAATATGCGGACGCTGCCGTTGGCAACGTTACCGGAAGTAATTCTGTAAATGTGTTCCTTGGACTGGGTACCCCATGGTTGATAGCTGCGATATACCATAAAGTCAAAACCGTAAGTTATTCTTTTCTTACTTAAAAAAGTTATGAAAGGTGCGTGCGCACCATGGAGCACGCGCAAGGATATTTTTCGTGCGSCTGCGCGATATAATATAAAGGTTATATAGAGGTTAAAGTATTGTGCCGTAAAAGCGGATTTTTCACATCCATTGAAAGGACCTTTTTTATTATCGAAAAGTTACACGTTTTGGTCAACGGTGTTAAGGAGAATCAAAGGTCCTTTGAATGGATGTGTAAAAGTCGCTCCCTCATGGTTATTTCAGTATGAATTCTAATAGATCATTGTTTTTTAAACATTTACAGGGTAAACCCTTCAATGTTCCAGGTGGATCACTGGTCACAAATGTAGTAACCTACAGTGTTTGTGCTTCGCTGTGCATTTTATTATTRCTATTGAGGCGATATATCAAACCTCTCGGAGGAGGCGAGCTAGGAGGACCAGCGAAAACCAAATATGCAACGGGAGCAATCTTCATTCTGCTGTGGTTCATCTATGTTCTCATATCAGCGATGGTTTCATACGGTCACATTTCTTTTTAGAGTGCACCGCAACTTAGAACACATAGACACATCTTGGCTGATTATCAGTTTAATATAAAGTTATGCAACAGTTGTAAAAAATTATCATTTCACSGACTCTTAAACCACGTACTGAATGCACAAATCGGCAGAATTAGCCACACTTCAAGTTAAATTGCAAACCGATTAAGTTTAGCTTTTTACACCTGGCTCATAGTGAAAGATAGTTTTAGAAAATAGAATATATTTTATGCGACTAAAAAGTATGGAATACTGAAATGTTGCCGAAATAAATTTCTCCAAWTGGGCCTGTCTCATGCAACAGCCATATTGGATAGAACAATATGATACATTATTGCCCAAAAACCTAGCTTTTAAAGCTATTATAAAGAGCTTGGCCAGGGAAACGAAAATGTTTTTAATCTCCTGTGAATATAAAAGCGCTAACAGGA